ACGCAGTCATTGCTTTCACACGACATTTTTCTGGTGCGAAAACGTCTATGCGGAATTAGTGCTTCACGAGAAAACTTTCCCGTCAAGAACTTACACTCGCCATCGTCTTTACTGCAAAAGTTTTGAAGCCATTCTTTATACACGGCACTGTTTCTGCTGCAAAGATTTAAACACGACATTACTGTTACAGCAGACTTGTGGTCAAGTATTTGCTGTAGACCTTAATAGCTGCTATGTGTTTTGCATGCCAAGTTTTGTCGTGTAGTATCGATGTCGTTTAAGTCTTGGCAGTAGAGTTAATGTCGCGTCTGAGTAAAATCTGCATGAGTTTTGCAGCCGAAGTCATGTCGCGTATATCTGATCAGTTTTTGCCATACATCGACGTCGTGGCACTCCTGCCGGTAGGACTTCTTGCCGAAGCGCCGATGTCGTGGCACCATTTCGTATGTAAACAAAAGACAATGGAAACGTCTGCTGCAAATCACAAATCTATCTCGGTGCCGTAAAAAGCATCCCAGATTGCCTAAGTGTCACATAAATTCAGGACGGGCTAATTATGCGACAACGAGTCATGCATACGTTGGTGTTCACCAAGCTTCGATGCGGGATTTCGCAGGTAAATATTGTTTAACTACGTTTGCAATGCATTTAATCGTTGTGCCTTCTGCGTGGGAAAGCTTAGAATATATATTGCCGAAAAGGTGTTGATGAAATTAAAGGTTCTGGCTTTAAGTTAAGTACATTGGACCACTTCATGCTTCACGTTTTTAACGTCACTTGTTCTTTCTACCCCGTCATGTGTAACTTTGCGTTTACGTGCCTCTGGTAGTTCCAGATATTGAACTCCAAAATAAAGTAAACGTCAGAAAAGCTGCTGCTTTCTTCCTACAAGGAGCTCCCATTTACAAAGCGCTAAGTCCCAACCCTCGCCTCCGCCTTTCGGAACAGACGCGAATTATCATGTATGCGTCAAAAACATAAATATACATAATTGTCTTGAATTAACCCGAAAAGCGCGACTCTTTGAAAGCTGTCCTGACTCCAACATTTCCACGCTGTGCTGAAAGGCGCGCACCATTTATTGATGTCATTGGCTTAGCACTGAGAGGAAAAGACAGTGAGACCAGGTTGTCTGACTATCTGTGAATTGCACATTTGATGTAGGAAGAAAGTTCGGTATTATGGATTTTAAGTTCCTCTGTTAACGATATCAAACAATCGTAGGTGACTACGTCAAAGCTCGCCTTTTCCATTTGTGCTCCTTGGATTCCCACCCAGCTGGTCGAGCAAGACCATCGCCTTTGATCTCTGGAATTGAGCACGGCGCGTACGACATTCACCGCCCTGACCAGGCCCTACTGAAACCCAAGGAAACTGGTGACACGTGATAACGTGCACAGTCTTCTCAATGTGTACTGCCCCACGGCGTGTTAGGTGCTCTGCGTAGTCCCTGATATGGTAAGGATCAGTGGTCTCGTCTTGCCTACTCTAGCATCATCAAATGGCGGTTATCATTGCCGCCATTGGCTTTTTGGCGTTGCCTTCCCTCCCCCCCCCCCTCGCCTGTGGCTCGACGGCTTTGAGCCGCTGTTTCCCATCCTCCGGTGGCGGAGTCGACGGGTTCAGTTCTCATCGGCGCTCGTTATTTGTCTGTGGCTGGGATGGCCTGCAGTCTGCGACTGCGGACGCTCAAGATCAGATAAGGTCAGGAGGTAGGACGAGAGACGTGTCTAAATGTGCCGTAGGACTGGAATTTCGTGATGGGATGGTGGGTCAGGGCTCACACAACAAACAAGGTTTGGTGTTATTTCGGATCCCAGAAAACCATGCAATCAAAATGTTCCGACTACAGTTGCAAAATGATAAAGTAATCCTACTGAAAATGTGATACATGATCGGCATGCCCATTACTCGCATGACGTGCTCGTTGAAACATGCTCGATATACACAAATATGCCGGTAGGCACGGCGCGTCTTTCTCTTCATATCCTCAGCTACCGCTGGTTGTCAAGCAATGCGCAAATGTACGAATATTTTGTTCATAATTTGCATTGATGGTTGACTCTGTTACCTGACCATGGAGTCATGGCACACTGTGCCGGAACAGCCCGCCTTGCCGTGATGTCCCCAGTGACCCGTCTTCGGTGGTCTCCACGCTAAGCTGCTGCCATCCCGCCTAGACAATATCCGCGAGACATCGTTTCTTGTCGCATGACGTCAGCTATTTATGAAGCCTCCTACCGGGTATGTCTGCTCTCGAACAGCTTTTCATGTTAAAGCGTCGGTCGTAACATGCCCCGCATGTGATGGGTTTTCATAGCTGTCACTGCCTGCTGATTTTGCTTTGTTGGGCGCATGCTCTTGATTCCGACACATGGCCATAACTGTCAAGTGAGGTTCACGACCTAGGCAATCACGGTCTGGAATGCTGGCACCGCGCTGGCCCTGTCATCAGTGAATGATGACCCCGAGCGAGCACCATCATCTGACCCTAGCGTCTCCGCTTGTCCACATGGTACAACAACCGGCAAAGAAACGAAATGAAACTTCTTGCTCGTCTTTTGCCGTCGAATTTCATGCATTTTAGCCCCGTGGTTGTAGACGAAGAATATATATCTAGAACTGGATGAGCAAGACCTGATATGCATGGTAGCTAACAGCCAAATCCAAAGAATACCAATGCTGGTTTCTAGTTTATTAAAGCAATTGTGTTCTGTGAATAGTATCTGGTTTACGAAACTTATTATTTGTGTTCGTATAAGTGATATAGCAAGATTTATTCGCTGAAAATAGATAGATATCTTGGAAAATATTGCATTCTTTATGCCGACTAGTTAAAGAGAGTGCTCGGCACTTGTGTGGGAGCTGTATTGAAGGCCGTTGTACTGATGGCCATTTTGAAGGCCATTGTATCGATAGCCATTTGGAAGAACATTCGGTGCAATCACAGCCTCGCCTTTCTTAAGCCCTAAACCCTCTAATTTCTGGGCTGGACGACCGCGAATTTGTGCATGTTATTTAGTGGTGACTATTTCAAGGTCACCCAGGCTTGCATAACGCCATAAAAACGTCACTCAAATACAGCCATCCCACTATCTATGCGGCGTTCATGGTTAAGACAAATATGATTCTCAAGTTATTCGTTCGGGCGTACGTGAGTGATTTCTGGAACCAGAGGTCTTTACTGCCCCTTAAACAATGTGATGCATTCAGTACTAGCTTCAGACACCGATCACGTTATGTGCCACATAATTCAGGAAGTTGGTAGTCGTACTAGTTATTACGGAAATAAGACTTGTGACCGAATAACCAAGAATTGACTCCTGGTGTCGGGTTTCGGAAACAGCAAGAGCCCAGGAGCCGGCCTGATAATTAGCCGACGTGTCCATTACGAACCAGGATCCAGCCTGATATTAAGCCGAAAAATCAAGCAAGAACCAGGATCCAGTCTCATTGTTAGTCAAGAGACCCAGCAAGAACTATGATCTAGCCCGACAACAAGCCAAACGATCCAGCAAGAACCAAGATACTCTCTGACACAGATCCAACAAATCCACTGAGAACCAAGATCCAGCTTGGCATTATGCCAAAAGATCCAGCAAGAATCAAGATCCAATCTGACATTATGTCAAGGGATTTAGGAAGAACCAAGATCCAGCCTGAAACATGTGGAGATCCAGCAAGGCCCAAGAAACCGCTGAGGATTAAGCCGACATCCAGCAGGAGCAAATCTTTAGTCTCAAGTGGTGCCAATGTAAGCAGCAAGAACCATAATTTTACCTGAGACCCCTGGCAGCCCTGAGTTTAGAGGCCGAGTAGAGAAAATAGATAAATTTATTCCCACTTTTTGTTTTAGGTGTGGGAGGACTAAGGTCACCCAACAACATGAAACTACACCGGACACCCTGGTGCTCCTTAAAATTGATAGAAATACACGGAAACAATGTGCATTAAGCATTTCAGAAAGCTTTCCAAATCTCAGTTGTGTGATGTATCTGTGCCACAACGAGATCTTGCAAACCTTTGGCACACTTCGCAGAAGTATAGAAAATGTAGTCGTGTAAATTTAATTATTTCATTTGGTAGATGCATGTAGACTTGTCTATATAACTCAAACATCCACTTTTTGCACTTGCAACATAAGCTTTCGTCCAAGGCTGGTTAGAGAAATGTGTGCAGTCATGGAAAATTGGCGCTTTGCCTCAATAACCCCGGATTCACTGAAATCATGTTTGTTTCCCCACCTTGCTCCTGCCAACAAGTCCTTAGCAGCCACAGACACAAACGCAGGTGACCGCAAGCTTCCACGCCATCGTCTTAGCGACAAGATCAGAGAGCTCGTGCCATAACACATGAAATGACGGTGGCATCTGACTCATTTTGAACTAATCGCTTCCGCCATACGTTGTGTTTATGGCCGTTTTGGCCAAAGTAATGTAAAAAATTAGATATACCTTCTAAGGTCCCTGACCTATGACAGGTCAAAATCAGGTCGTGACTGTCGGCGAATGCAGTGTCTATGGAATCGTTCAATGCGATGCGACAATGAAGGGTAAGGCGAAGCCATACGTCTCTGAGATAGTTTATGAGACAGTAGACCAACTGAATTTATGGTCGCAACAAATTCCCTTTATCTGGGTTCAGGTCTGAAAGTCAGACAGAGCTCTAAACCAACTTGCTTTTTACTCGCGAGCTTGCTGAATGGGCCGGTTTCTGGCGCTCATTTCGAACGTTAACATTTTTTTTTACATCGATTTCGAACGTTAATTGACAACGGGGAGAGCAACTGACATTTTCCATTGATATATTTAAGGTCAGAGTAGGTACTGACCTGAAATGATCCAGGTCGACGTTTTGCTTTTAGGAACATACCGACTAGCATGATCATTGACGCTTATTCAAATTTAAAAATCATGACAATCTCGTAGGGTTTTGGCTGCCACGAACTTCTAGAGGTCAAAACGCGCGTCTTGTCTGACCTCCCTGACCTCACCCTGCAGGTCTGTCGACTGTGGCCGACCTGTACCCGAACGAACGCGAGCGGTCGCGCGTGATGGGCCGCGTTATGGGCGCCATGGCCGTCGGCGTGCTCATCGGATACCCGTTTGGCGGACTCAGCTACGACCTGATGGGCAAGTCGCCGCCGTTCTGGCTGCTGGCCGCCCTGCTGACCGCCATGTTCGGTGAGGTGCCCGTCGTGCCGATCGCCGCGTGCCATATGCAGTAGTTTGACTCAGTAGTAATAGTAGTAGTAGGTAGACGTAGTAGTACAGCATTAGAAGTAGTAGACTCCTCGCCTAGCGGGATATCGCAATGCCCCTCTTGCGATCGCGCCGGTCATCCGCTCGCAGGGTTTGGTGCAGCATGTCTGGTGATCAGCTGAGCGGGCCATCCCTCCGTGTGCAGTTACGGGCAGCCCTCCTGCTCAGTGTCTTCGGGAAAGGAACGTTAAGACAGCGCTCTGGTATAACGTGCGCTGTTGGCTGGTGGTAAATTCCCACAATGACAGGATCTTAAAGCCGCACCGACGGCGTGGTGTGTAAGTTCTAAGCTGCGACATGGATATCGCTATGTGACACGTAATATGCATTTGCGTCCTTCAGCAGCTTCCGTGTACGCTGGGCTTTAAGGGGATATCTAGCATTCGCTGCACTTGTTGTGCATAATTAGTCATACGGTTCCGATTTGATCGGTAATACCAATTTGCTCTAAATCCTTCCGAAAAGCGGTTAGCACGGGTGGCTCGAAAATGTGACCGACGACAAAGCCAACGAGCAGCCGTTCGATATGATGGGTACATCTTGGTAACCAGGGGTCGGACCGGAGCGAAAATGTAGTCAAGCAAAGACATTGACACTCTCAGGGAGGCAATGGAATGGGGCACCGTGTGGTCCCAGATGTGCAGGAGCACGCGCCTCATGTCACGTTCACAGAAGCGGCCAAAACATTTTGCCCGGGTTTTAGGATTTTTTTGCAGTTTGTATCATTGCACAGCTGCCGAAGCAGATAGAAGTACAAATTCAAGCTCAAATTGTTGACTAACGTACCGTCTGCAATTCACGCCCTCAACTCGCGCTTGTACGACGTATGATTGCGCTGAGAAACGTCGCGCAAGCTGGGAATGTCGATTTTTCGAAAACGACGCCAGATACAACACGTCGCCGTCGAAACTTAACCAGGAACGTGGCAAAATAAGCATTACCGCATGCACCAATTCATTGCCTGCCTTTGCCACCCATACATTTATTATTCGGTGCGCATTCCTGGACATACATCAACTTGACCTAAAAGGTGTCAATTCCACAGTTTCGCGTCGTCAAAATGACACCGGCTCATTGCCCAGTCACTGGCGGTGAGTATATGAAAGGGAATTTTTCACATTTGAAGATCAATGTAAAAACTGCTCTAGACAGAAGCGCTTCTCTGTTGAGTAAATGTGCCTCTCAATGCGTCATGGTTTGATTACGTCATATGACTGGATTTGAATGACATTTTTATGACGCCATGAGGGCCAACATGACTTAACAATATTCTCCCCGATATAACTTTCCCATTTGTGCCAGCGTGTAGCTTAGAAACTAGAGAGAGACTTAGGTCCTAAGAAGGGCAGGGTCGTGAACAGCACGGAAAGATCTTCAAGATGGCTTTTTGGGTTCAAACTCCCATATAAATGTGGAACACTCCCGTTAAGTAAAACAATTTAAATCGCACGCACTGGATGTTGCCGGCGTACCGCAACCGTCGTTAATCACTTAATTAATGTAGTGGTGAATCAAATGAGCCATGAATTCATTCCATAAGCCGAGAAAGGTGAGTGATAGTAACGATCCTAATGCATTACCCAAACTAATTGCTTTGAGAAATGTCAGAGTAACCGAATATATCGAGCAAAGAATAATTTGCGACGAGTGCGATAAGAAGACCTTACAAATGCAGTAAGTTTCAGCAAGGCTCACCGCTGCGGCAAAACAGCACTCCCATGTGGTTCGCGAGGGCGTGTTTTAGAGCCATCATAGAGTATGATAACACGAAAGCAGTGCAGCAGCATAGACAGGTGGCGGTGGCGACATGAGAGAGATCTTACATTCGCAGTGATAACAAGTGTGGGTTTCTTGCGCTTTACGAATGCGTAATAACGCTCAAACTGCAGTAGATATTCGTAAAGCACGATTCGAAAGTTGACAATCGCGGATTTTGTCTTAGTAAGCAGAGCGTGAGCTCATTATTGAAGAATGCTTTCAAATGATATTGATCATCATTTGTTTGTGCCGCTTTGTTGTGCCCCATCAGCTTTGTCACATGGCTAGGTGGCACGAAACCGGAAAGCGCTATGACAACGTTTTTCTCAGGTTGGAGCAACTGTCATTCCCTATAGGGCTATTTGGTGGGCTATGACCCACCGATTTCCGTCAAGGTTACAAGGGATTCAACACCATGATGCCCATGACGCGGTATGAAAAATGGCTTATCGGTTAAATCTGCTTCCCACGACCTACTTACATACCTGGTAGTCGGCCCATTACACCCGGTTTCAGTCAGGCGTCCCTGCAGCTAGGGGTCGGGTCGGCCAGGAAGTCCCACGAATGGTGCTTAATGCACCCCGAAATACTGCAAACACGAATCATCCATGGGAACTCAGTCGCTTAGCAAAGCAAGCCGCAAGCACCCTGTCCTACAATATTTCCAGGCCCCAGAGTTGTCGCTCAATCGCACTAATTATCTCCCATCACAATTTTTGGTACGATCCATACCATATACTGTACTGACAAAGCAAAAAAGACAAGGCAGATAACTGAACATATTCACTCAATTTCAAACCTTTTGTAGGTATGCGACAATGGCAAGAGCACATCATGTGATATTTTGAATCTCTATACTCATGTTGCAGAATGTTGGCCTTTCTTAACAATCTCAGTGAACCCCTCTAGTTTTCCCATACAGAGTTCAACAAAAACACTGGGCAAAAATATCATTAAATATTTCAATGACTTGCGAAAAACACAAGGCATACAAAAAGCGTCCGTTCACTTGCTGCTTGAAGATCACCAACAATTTATGTTGATGTTGAATGACAACCCCCGACTTCTGCCTTTAACAAACCACTGAAACATATGCCGATATTGTGCAATGTAATTAAAATATTTGGCTGAACCAGCCATCAAGCGTTGAGTGGAAGCTTGTAAACATCATGGTAAACGTCCTTCATAATTTCCAGCCTCCATATTTCGCTCAAGTGCATTAATCAACCAGCCCAACTTTTGTACATTCAGCATATTCACCTTTGCGCGCAAAGAGATAAAGTAGCAGCATTACTGCGCAGAAATCAATACAGCAAGCCATTTTGGGGGTTTGCTCTGATGGCAAAAGCACAACAAAACTTCTTTTTTTGAAATCCTTGACTCATGCTTGACAATATCAGCTGCTCATCACCTCAGCAACACCTCTCCGGTTTTCCACTTGCACAGTTTTTACAAAAACATGGCATAGAAGTGGGCTTTTCATATATATTGGTTCAAATGAAACACAACAGGTAAAAAAGCATTGCTTCATCGCTCATATGCCACCAATGACGCATATCAGTAAACCATCACAACTTCTGAATTAGCGTCTTTTGGGCAGATGAACCGACGCGAACTGCACTGTCATCATTATTACCAGATATGTAATATTTCAGGAAAGCAAGCCATCATATGTTGCAAAGGGCTATCCGAACACCTTGTAAGCTTTCATCTGCAACTTACACGTGTTGAGGAAAATCTAACAATCATTCAAATCTACAATGAGCTTCACAGTGAGCTTCACAGCTACGCGTCCTCTATGCACGGCATGACATATGGGAATACCTAAAAGAAGAAAGAAGTTCATTGGTGGCCTGAAATGTTGAGCACGTAAATTGGACTCGAAAATAACTAAGATTCAGCTGCTATTAATACACTGTTAGTGATGCAGCTCCGTTCCCCCGTGCTATTATATTAATGGCGCATCCTTAGCGTTCACCAGGCCATGCTTTTAAAATATGTTTCAAAGGTCGGACACTTCTGTTAAACTTCTACCGGGATATCAGCTGACGCATATGCCGCCTTGGTATGCTCAAATAGATACAGCACCGAACAGGCCAGCGACGGTGGCGGTCACGTTGGCTCCGGTCGTTTAATGGCGGTTGCGTTTATAGAAAAATTGGAGATGGAAAACACTGCCACAGGGTAGGGGGAAGGGGTGGGCTGTCACGTAACAGCATGCCAGATTGTTACATAACCGCACTGCTTGGTAGGAGTGCCAATGTCAAAGCAAACTCTGCAAGTTGTGGCTTAAGCGGCTCGGTGCTGGTGCGTGGAGGTCTGGCCCGGTTATTCCCAGTGCTGGGGCATCAAAGCCCAACCCGGTTAGTTACGGCCCGGTCTGGTGCATTGGAGGCCCGGCGGAGTTATTCTCAGTGCTGGTGCACCGGGGGCCGGACCGGTTAGTCACGATATTGGGAGGGACTCGCCTTTGGAATCAATAATCACGCTGCAATGCAGTTGGCAGCAAAGATACGCGATTTCTTCACAAATTGTGCCGTGAAAGGAAATAATTCAACAGATTGAAAGAAATATGCACAGCAAACTGATTCAGTTGTAGTCAGATGTAGTCTTCGTACCACTTTGCAACAGCACCCAATTTACCTCTCCGATTTAGTGGGGAAGCGTAAATTATCCCAAATGCAAGGACCTGAACAACACGGATGGTAACATGCCCAGATCTGGGGGAACTGGCGCTCCAGAGGCAGATGCCGCTTGATGACATTTGATGATTTGATGAATGACATTTGATGGATGGTATCGACAAAAAAACGTGAGCCGCATTATGTGGGTCGCCTCGCGTATGCGAGCGCAAAAAATATACACACTGTTCGTGGGGTATTTGAAACCAGTGCTGTTAGATCTAAGAAGCCGGAACAGATCAAGGCGTGGCACCAGTTGCATGATGTAGTGGAATGAAGAGGTTTCAAATCATTAAGCTGTCATAAAACTCCCCGACTCATAGGCGCGCCAGTGATAAACAGGGAAGCGGAAAAAGTCCTTATTGAAGGAAGTGCTCCACATTTCTATGTGGTTTTGAATTAGAACAGCCATCTTGCAAACCTTGCGGTGGAGTCCACATCCCTGCCCTTCTTAAGACCTAAACCACTCTAGTTTCTGAGCTACACGCTCGCGAAAATGGAGAATATTTCGGGGGAGTACTTCAAGGCTGATTTCGACATTCGTGACGTCAGAAAAGCGTCATTAAAATTCTGCTATTCCATAAGTCATGCGACGATAAAAGCTAAGAAAAATCCAATGGTCGGATCGTTTTTATCTTGCGTTTGTTAGCACGATTTCCACGTACAGCGGCCGCCAATTGGCCGTCAATTAATGTCACGCAAGGTACGATGGCCTAATCAAACAATAACGTTCCGGGGAGCAAATTTACTGAGCAGACAAAGCGTGCTGTCAAGAGCAGTTTTTTCTTTTGCAAAGGGGACCAATAGTAATCAATGAGTTTGTTTCATCATATTTGATGTTTGCTTCAATATCTTCAAATGTGAAACTTTCCGTTTAAATCCCTGCTAAGTGCGACACACTGTGAAAGCGAGAGATTTGGGATCATAAACCTGACACGGATGTAAATCCCAGCTTGAATCCGTCCTTTAGGAAACTTGCGTACGACAGCGCCTCGGAAAGTCAGAATTCAAATGTTTGGCTAGACTCATTCGTGTGGGCTCCGAAATGGTTCTTCATATCATTAGGAGCTGGTATGGGAAAGCGGTCATGGCGCTTCTTTTTTGCTTCATGATTTGTCTTTATTAAAGAGTACGTTTCAGAACAAGGAAAAATATGTATTTGCGAACGACTCATTTAAATATGTCGTGGCCGGGGCACATCTGTGCAAACGGAACGCTTGCGTGTTATTATGCCAAGGGCGGGGTGTTGTTCCAAGCTATTCACGACATTCATTGTTGCATTAATTTAAAACAATTACCAAGCACTTAGGAGATCGCCGACAAATTTGCACGGGTAGAACAACGTTTCTCAATACCGTGGCCTATCATGGCTCTCTGGTCGCGTGTCTGGAGCGGATCGTTCAACGACCTCGTTCCCGTTAGCGTTGCCTTCGGCATACTGAGGAAAAGAAATACCACTGTGAGAATTGATGGCTGCGACGGCATCAGCGATTTGTCAGCCTGGCTTGAGGTAATCACCATTACGTGACTGGGGAGGGGCCGTGTCCGGCGTTACAGTTATCGTTAATGTGCATGAGATATGCCTAAAAGCTAAGATACCGTTGTTGGTAAGCTGTATGAAATGTGTTTCATAACTTTCAGGTGTGCTATTGACTCGTTGGTGCTATATTCTTGTCACTGAGCCGAAAAATAATCCATCGAAATCGATCCATTCCCTTCACACAGCGTTCTTTGTAACGCCAAGTTTTCTGCACACCTAGCGGCTGGCAGGGGGGGGGGGGGGGGGCGGCGGCGAGGAGGGAATCACATTTCAGGACGGGGAGTTGATTCAGGGGCCTCGTGGACGTGACGCTCAACGCTCGCCCTGAATCGACTTTTTTCATATCACCAACATATATGTGGTGTGGGTTTGATATGACCCCCTGCTGTTTTTAAATCAAGAAAGATAAAGCTCTGCGAAAAAAACCCATGGATTTGTCTCCACGGGAACTTACGATTGGTAATATTTGCATGTTGTTAGGTGAAAACTTGTTCCCGCTCATGCGTGCCAGAGCTTTTCCTGAAAACCGAGCTATTTCAGACTTGCATGCCAGTATTAACAAAGCCATGGTGCGCAGCAACAGTAAAGTTAAACAGACGTGTTCCCTTTCTAATCTGAACGCGCCGTGGGGTAGTTTTGTATGGCTTGATCGTCTATTCGTGATGCAGAGCTTCATGAATGTAGCAGCGTCGGCCCGTCGCACGCAAATGGCGGATTCATCGGTTCTTAAAAAACCTGATTGACTGAAACTGGGACAGCTAGAGGCATATGTTTGGTGTCAAAACGCGCCCAGTTAATGGCTCAGAGGCTGCTGACATCTTGGGGGCACGATTGCACGATATGCTGGAGAACGATATTCAAGAAACCTTTTGTGGGTCGCCACTTCCCCTTCATCCATGAGGAAGGAAAATAAATCGCTGAAAGAAGCCATACTTTTTTACTAGTTAATGGTTAAGGCATTGTATGACCTATGTGTTCTGCATGTCTTCGTGTAAATTAATGCTGCCACATGTGCATGCAGTGCCGGCATATTTCTCAGCTGCGTGATCCTATAGCAGTCGATGCGCCCCCCCCCCCCCCCCAGCACATTTGTCGGGTGAGGGAAGCCATTTGTCGGGCATGAGAATGAAGCCTTAACACGCAACTCGGGTGGGCGGGGGGGGGGGGGGGTTCAAATTAACCCCTCGCCCCCCGAAGGTTTTTCCAGAATGGTTTGCGAACTGCGCAGCGACGCCGCGCCAAATTTTGCATAGCTGTAGAAATTGAATAACGGATCGTTGGACATAAAAAATTTAGATGCATCTTGAAAGGTTGCTGATCTATGGCAGGTCAAGGTCAGGCCATGGTTTCAGCGAAGGCAGTTTCTAGGGAATCGTCCAATCTGACACAATAACGGAGTGTTTGTTGAAGCCATACATCTCTGAGATGCTTTCTTAGGCTACACAAATATTGAATGAGCAAATTACGTTGACCCAAGGTCAGGTATGAAGGTCAGACCAAGGTCACAACCAACCTGATTTATTACTCTAGGGCTTGCTGTATGGGATAGTTTGTGGTGCTCATTTCGAATTTATTGACAGCAGGAACCGCATTATACATCTTCCATTGACTTCTAAGAGGTCAGAAAAGGCCCAAGATGACCCCGGGTGGATAATTTGTTTTAGGAGCATACTGCCTAACGTTATCTTTGTCGCTTATTCAAATGCAAAACTCAGAGCAGTCTTGTATTATTTTGGTCACCACGGCCTTCAAAAGGTCAAACAAGATCACTGATCTCAAAGGGGCTTTTGACCTTTTGCTTAGAAACAGTTGCCTAGGTTCTGGGGGCACTTTGGAGACCAATCTGGAATTTGACTTTGTTTGACCTTATTTGACCTGAAGATCATCACCTAGGAAGCCCAAGCTTTTACCTAAGTGAGTCCACGTACAGGTCAAGAGACCCTGTAAATTTGGTATCTCTAGCTTTCTTAATTCCCGAGATCTCAGGGGAGTCAATTTGCTCCCCCCCCCGCACCCGAACGAAGGGTATCTGGCCGGCCAGCCGGGCGCATGTTAAGATTTCACACACAAACTACGGAGGAATGTCGCATGCGTTCTACCCTCTTGGGGTGCCACAAAGCACGGGCTTCAGATATGGATTTTCTACGAAAAATAACAACAAGTGATTATTATGCTGGGCTTGTCTGCGCGGTTTGGGAGTGCTTTTTCAAATCGGACGCAGCATGATTTCGCTCCTCCTGATATAAATGACGATGCTGCTGCCGCTTGTGTTGTCGCCTCGCTCGCCGCACGCTGCGCAAGGTGCATCATTAGTGTAAGTGTATAAATCTGAGCTGTCAAAAGAAAATACTCTTCTCACAAAACAAATTTCGGCTTGTCTTTCGTGGAAAGTCCCAAACTGGTCCTGTCCACGTCCTTGGAATCGATGCACTGGTTCGGTCGGTGGATGTACGACGTGTACTGCAGGCGAGTGAAGACGAGATGACCCGCGTCTCCTCGCTGCCACGCTGATCCCGCTTCTCAGCCCGGCCGCTCCGGGAGCCGCAGCCACCGTCGGGTGGGCCAGAACTGGCCGACCGATCACTGCCATGTATATGCATCATCCCTCCACCCCAGCCGCCCAGCCTACAACGCCCGAGCCACGGGGCGGACGTGACCTGACCGAGTGTGACTGGTCTGCCACAGCGGTGCAGTACCGGCGGCTGCGGCCGCTGCCGGCCTGTGAGCGGGACGACGAGGCCGTCACCCCGCCCTGGTGGCGCCTCCTGGCGGACCGACGCATCAACATCGTGGCCGGCGCCGTCGGTCTCTCCACCTCCGTCATGGCTATCCTGGAGCCCACGCTTCCCGTTTGGCTCATTAACACCATACACCCACAGGTACGGCACGCTACAACCGCAGGTACAGCCAGAGGTGGCACTCTCTAAAATTGGGGGAGGGGGGAGGGGCGGCATTCGACCGGACAATCAACCGCCTGCAGCAGGTGCACGTGTTGTGCACCTTGAACTTCCAATGGGCCCACCTGGAGCACCTTTTGTTGTGACGGTTTGACGTGTATAGGATCACTGATGAATTCCGCTGTCGCTGGCTGTGGTGTACCAATCAGCCGGAATTCAAATACCACCACAGTCACGATCATGCGATAAATAAACCCGCCACTGTTGAGAGAAACACGGTTTAACTTTTAAGTGGGTAGCCCTGTAATTTTTAAAGCTGTCACACATTGCGGCCAATTGTTCTTTATACCGATTCAGATATTGTCATGTGCAAAACTCGCCAAACATTTGCAGGCCGGCCCACAATCTAACGGAGTTGCGTGAAAAAAATAGGAGGCTACAAAATACTCTTTGGAACAAACTTGACGTGATACTGATAATGATGCGTCTAGGTACTTAGTGTACTAATAGTTAATACAACTTCCGAGCATTTCTGTGGCCAATTATTCTCTTTTTGCTGATAAGCATGGAGGGGCTCAGAGGGGTGTTACAGGCTCAAATTAACGCTGGGGAGGCTCAATTTTCCCCCAAAGCATAGAAGTACAGCACTTCCACCCCTGAGTACAGCGCGTACAGCCCTGGATCCCGTACCTACACATGCAGGTGTTGCACACTACACCCACAGGTACGGCACACTACACGCACAGGTACGGTATCCTTCACCCACAGGTGCGGCACACGGCAATGACAGGTGCGGCACAAAGGCACCCACAGGTGTGACTAGCTTTACACGTAAATAGGGCAGACGACGGCCACAGACGACACACGGTACAGCCTCAGGTTAGACACCGCGTGCCCGCAGGTGGGACACCCCACGCCGATGGACACGGACCGTCATACCCCAGGTGTGATAAGGAACGGACCGTCAGACCCCAGGTGTGATGAGGAACGGACCGTCAGACCCCAGGTGTGATGAGGAACGGACCGTCATACCCCAGGTGTGATGAGGAACGGACCGTCAGACCCCAGGTGTGATGAGGAACGGACCGTCAGACCCCAGGTGTGATAAGGAACGGACCGTCAGACCCCAGGTGTGATAAGGAACGGACCGTCTGACCCCAGGTGTGATGAGGAACGCCCGCAGGCGTGACACGACACACCTACCGGTATGGATGTTTGGCTGTGAGTGTGGCACACTACACTACACTACTACACTTCACCACGCACGCTTCACACATTAATTTACACTTCACGCTACACACAGTACACATACTCATTGTGAGTATCAACTACTACATCCAGAAGTATGGTGCACTTTTACGACCAGCATGGCACACTGCATACCCAGGCCAGCCACGCTACACCCATCATGGAACGCTCCACACCCGCGTGCACGACACGCTACACCCGAAGGCTCGATTCGTTTTACTCCTAGGTACAACTCGGTCCTCCCACACGTTAAACAAGATACACCTGCAAATGGCCTGTCATGAACCGGGCTCAGGGGCTCAACATCGTTGAGCCCCTGAGTCAACAACAGTCGGAAATGCAGTACTTTGCATTCGTAACTTCAACTTCAGCGAGTAAGCGACCATCCGAATAAGATATTGAGCGTCTTGTAGGAGCTCTTTGGAGCAGGCGTTGTTTGTTTACTTAACGTACATTTGCAAGCGTCGGTGAGCTGGCGCTGACCTATTGCATCAAACGAACCAAACATCCCCGGCAACTAGTGAACTTCAACTAGTGAGCAACTTGAACTAACGAACCCGTTAACACACGATCTGACGGACATCACATAGTGGTCGCTCTCGAGAAACGCGGTGGCCTGTATTGTCGAAGCACTAGGAAACCTTTCGCTACGCCCGCGGCACCCATATGCATCCACCACGACGGGTCTGCACCGGCCACCACACCCTGTGGCCGGCCTGCGTCTCACGCAGCCAGCAGCTCTATGACCGCCGCGCCCCTGAGACCCGCCCGCGTCGCACGCAGCCAGCAGCAGCGGCCGAGTGATGCGCCGCCCGCCCCGTCCCGTCCCGTCCCGGCGCCGGGTCGGCGCAAACAGCGCCATGAATCGACAGGATGTCAACCGGCGGCGTGCGTTACGACGCACCCCGTCCAGCGCGTCTCAGACGGCGGGCCGCACCGGGCCAGGCGGCGCCGACACGGTCCGGAACGGCACGAGTGAACGCGCCGCCGGCCGCCGGGAAAGCGGTGCCGAGCGCGTATCTCTGGTTGACTTCTGCGACGGCGCGGTAGTCCTGCGGCTAATCTGTGGTCATGATCCGTTGTTGGGTTCAGGGTCGGTACCGGATAAACTTGTTGTCATCAGAACGTCTGATCTCATTGGCAGTGGTAATACGGCTAGGCCTACCCGCCAAGTTCTCTGACTATCGCTGACCGCGGTGATTTCTCCCCCTTCGCCAACTGGCGAGGCTGGGGAGGGGAGGGGGGGGGGGGGGGGCTGGCACGATAACCGGCGTGGGCTGGTGCTGGCGGGAAAGTGGTTGCCACATGAACTGAACCGAAAGTATCTGCTGTAGAAGCAAAAGAAGTGGTTCAACCTATATTGAGTGTTAAGGCGCCAGCAAGATGCTGTAAATTCAACTCTATGTTCTGATTTCTGTTGCCGAAATACAATAGCGATGCAGAACATTACGCTGAATCTATCAGCCGGTGGTATGATCCGGTTTGCAGTATGAGGTAAGGACACATGTGATGTGCGTTAATTGAGTTTTGTCGTTTGCTTTGGAAAGAAATCGTGATTCGATCCATCCTTGGGAGAACAGGACCTAAAAAGGTGAGTGAACATTCTGTTAGAATGGAATCGGAAGTAACGAAACCAGTACGGGTGC